GATTCTTTGGTGTTCAGTGTGTAAAACATTTGTCTTCCTTCAATTTAAACTTGCTAGATTCAACATTGTAAAAGACTCTTTACTTCTGTAATTGACATCTAAAGATGTCTACTTAAATCACTTGAATACCAGTGGGATAGTTTCTTTCTCTTTTTTTTTTTTTTTATATACTCACTAATGGATCCTTTAGTACACCGTGGAATATTTTCAGGTGGCTCATCTGTTATCTTTTATATTTATAAGCAAGGATTACTGGATTTGTCTCTTTAAGAAGATCAGTTTGTCAGCTGCTTCTTTACTCCAGAAGTTGTTGGAAAAGGTAGGGTTCTAAGCTCAATGAGTCCCCAAGGGAGACAAAAACAAAATGGGAACGGTACACACGTCAGAGATGGAAAAATTAAACTGCAACTCAGTAAACAAACAAATGAAAAGCCAGTTTATTCTCAGATCTTTTACTTTAAAAGAGCCCTCTTAAAATTCCCAGAAACAAAATGGATATAGGTTTTGCCTGAAACACTGGATTAGAGAAAAATAGCTTTTCTTGATTCTCCTAGTTCTAAAATTTGGGAGCAGACCCAGGGCCAATTCCTAGGAAAGAGCCAAGCCTGGCCTGAAGCAAATTCTTGTTTTTGGTTTTTTTTTTTGGTGGTGGTACTGGTGTTTTACCTACTTGCTCTGTGTGAGTCCACAGTCTTTGTCTCAAGATAGCAAGCAATGTAAAACACTGATGACAAGAGTGAGCAAAGTAGCTACATCATCTATATGCCTTGTTCCTGCATTTCTTGTTCTGTTAGGTCTCTGATCCCACATCAGATAGTGGTTTGGATTTGCTGAAGGGTCACGGTCACATGTTGAACAATGGCTTGGATTCCCTGGGAGGTTTTTGTCACATTCCTCTTGAGCCATGTGTCATGTAGTCTCAGTGTCTGTGACTTTCCCACGGAGACCTTGGGAGTCTCCAGGCCTGTTGTTTTCTCATGGAGACCTTGGAACTTGAAAGTCTTGTGAGTCTTGATTTATTACCAGGGGCTGTACACTAACTGCCTGTGTTTCTTCTACCTTCTAATCTGTTTCACTAGGGATTGAACTCATAGCTTCACGCTTGCTAGGCAGGCATCCCTACCACCTGAGCCACTCCACCAGCCCTTTTTTGTGTTGAGCATTTTTGAGATAGGGTTTCACAAACCATTTGCCTGGGGCTGGATTCCAACTATGAACTTTCTGATCTTTGCCTCCTAAGTAGCTAGGATTACAGGAATGAGCCACTGGCACCTGGCCTGAAGCAGAATTCTTAGGGGAGCCCAGCCTAGTTTAGCCATGCACTATGAAGCTGGAGAAGGTTTATTGTATGCTGCTGCATTTTGCAGTATTGTTGGGACAATAACTGAGTCAATTCTTTACCAACTTTCAGAAATCCCATTACCAAGAGCAGTGAACATTTATGTACAAGTTTTTGTGTGTACAAGTACTTTTCTTCATATACTTTTCCAAAAATTTCACCTCTCTTCGGTGTATTACTTAAGAGTGAATCACAAAATAGAATCATGGTTAACTTTTTAATCTCCAAAGCAGTATTTGAAAGTTTCAGGTTTTCAAAATCTTCCTTAACACTTGTTTTGGTCAGTTTTTTTTTTAAAATAATTTTAGCCCTTCTAGCAATATGTACTATTTTCTCATTATAGCATCAATTTATATTTTCCTGATGACTCATGATGCTAAACATATTTTTCTGTGCAGACTTTATAGTCATATAACTTCTTCAACCTATTCAAAACTACCATTTCTCTTCTAGCTTTTGTTGTTGCTTGTGAGGAGGTAACTGTTAGTCCAGCTGCTCTTCCTTTTATTCTCTGATTGCTTTAAAGATTTTTAGTTTTTTATTTAAAAAAAATTTCATAGCACCCAAGCATGGTGGCACATACCTGTAATGCCAGCACTTGGGAGGCTGAGATAGAAGGACCATAAATTTGAAGCTGTTATCAGAAAACTGGTCCCCTGTCCACAATGCCAATGCACAATTTGCAAATAATGAGAGCAGGGTTTTGAAGGAAAAGAAATAAGGTTTATTATTCATCAGACAAAGAGGAGGATAGGGAGAGTCAATCTCTCAAAAGCACAATTGTTCCACTTTTGAGAGAAAATGTCTGCCTTTTAAAGGGAGCTCTGAGGCTCAGCTTGACTGTGTGCTAACATGCATGTTCACTGTGGCTACTAGCCATGGGTTTCCAGGTATCTAGGTGTCACATCTCTGAAGCTGTAAGTCTTCGTTGGCAGGTTTACTATCTGGTGGAGAGAGAGAGAAGGCAAGAAGACTGCCTGGTCTAATTGAAGAGTAAAGAGAGGTAACCTTGGACGTAGACAAAGAGGGAAAACGTCAGTTTAATTAATAAGCAGAATGAACTGGCCAGTATGCAATGTGGCTACAACAAAATTTTTTCCCTTCTGTGGTCCTGGTTACATTTTCCCCACTGTCCATTTAGTCCTTTTGTTTCTATGGAAAAGAGGTGTTGCAATCATCTGTTTCCTGCCTTTAGTTAATTCCTGAGCCCAAGTGAAGTGTCAGTGCTCCTCAGCAAAAGCAGCATTTAAGCCCTCATTTCAAGGCCATTCTGGATTATGGGGGAGACCCTATGTCAAAATCGACCAGTAAACAAACAAATAAAACAAAGAGACCCAATGTCAATTATTTTTTCCACTGAAATCTAAAGTGTAGACTTTTTAAAAATCCTGACTAGTAATCTTAGAGTTTCTTAAGACTATAGATTGGAATCATTCACCAGTTCTGGATATTTCTCAATTGTCTTTTCAGATCTTGTCTCTGCCTCATTCTTGTCCTCTGGACTTCCCAGCCCAGGTAGGGACACCTTCTTATTGAGTTCCATAACTTTTTCATAGTTTTCATCTTTTTTGTCTTTCTGTGCTGTATTCAGGATAATTCCTTTTGATCTTTTAGTTCTTGAATTCTCTCTTCTACTAAATCCATGCCTGCTGCTTTACAAAGCTTTACAAAGCTTTAAATATTTAATAATTTTCTTCACTGCTATAAATGTATTTTTGGCTTATTGTTTGCTGAAGACAGTTGCATGCCAGCATTTGTTTCTTTAAATGTGACATGCATTGCTTGCTTGCTTGATCATTGAAGCTGACGCTTCAACGTATGCAGACTTTGTTCCTGCTGTCCTCATATTACGATGGTTTATTTTCTCGTATGCTCAGTTGTTATCCTTGGCTGTGTGCTTTGTTGTTCTTGGGAAAGTATTGTTGTAGCTTCCCAGGGGTCTATGATGCTCATCCCAGGGAAAGGCACTTGGATGCATTTCCAACTGGGAGCCCCTTTCACTAAATTCTGAATTTGATGTTTCTTGTGCCCACCTCACTTCTCAGCCTGACCTTTCTGGTGCCAGTCTCCTTGTGAGTTTGGGTTGAAAACCCACTTGAGGGTTATCTAGAGCAAATAACTTTTCTCACAGGGGATTCTGCCCAGAGCTGGGATGTCAGCTAAGACACTTCTTTCTCTGCAAGATGGGGTCACTTGTGAGTGTATTTCTGGTTCCCTCTTCCCTGAGGGGGTGACCACTGAGTCCCAAGTTATAGAAAAGTTCTCTTTTTTTAGACTCCTCACTGGGCCAGGCCTGTGCTTTGATTTTTGTGCCTCTTGTTCTCAAGGTTGGCAAAACTACTACTTTAGCCTTTTGGGATCAGAAAATGTCCTCAGTGAGCTCCAGCTCTGTCTGCCTCTCTGCTTCTTCCTTTCTCCAGTTTTGGGCCTGGTACTTCCTTACTCTCTTGTTAGTTCATTAGTGACAAATTAAAAAAAAAAAATCCCTAGAATTTTTAGCAGTTTTCACTGGGAGATTTGTATAAATAATCTAGTTCATCATTGTCACTTAGATAGAAGTTCTGTTCATGTATACAACATGTTAAAGGAAGGTGGTTTTATTTTTTTTGGGGGGGTGGGGCTACTGGGGTTTGAACTCAGGGCTTTGCCCTTCCTAGGCAGGTGATTACTGCTTGAGCAAAGCCTCTGGCCCTGAGAGAGTATTTTTAAATGTCTGAGCGTAGCCTTTATAAAAGACTACTTATAATTATTGGGATTTCAAATTAATATTAACTTACTAAAACTAAAAAATTAAAAACCTTTCCTCCAACCTTTAATTTCAGCATACAATTTTTGTTATTACTCTAATTATAAATTGAGGATTTTTTGTATAAAGTAAGAATGGTCACCTTTATTTTTTCTGCAATTTATGTGTGGGTGACTCAGATGGGAGGCTCTGAATACCCTTAAGTAATGAGTCTGTTTACAAACTTAGTTAATAAAGTCCTTTAAATATTTTAAACTTCCCTTGTAAATTTACACATTTTAATTTTAAGCACTTCAAATGCTTTAAAAGACAAATTTATGGGCCTAATAATCAAAGAAGTATTTAACAACATTTACTCATTTAAAATTTGTATCCTACCATAGCCAATTTCATGACTTTTTCTGTGCTTTTTATTATGATTTTCCTCTGGACAGTAATACCCAAACTGTTACTGTTGGTTGTCTCTGGATCAAGAGTGATTTTATCTTTTCTACCTTATGCTTTTCTGTATTTTTAAAAATTTCCTACAACGAATATGTATCAATTCTATAATCAGAAGAAACGAATGTCCCTAAAAGTAAGAATCAATGCTTAGTATTTTTAGAAACAATGTATTCTCATACTATACCCTTTTTGCGACCATGTAGTAATTGTGCAAAGGGGTTTCACTGTGATATTTCCATATTACTAGATACTTTTTTGTAAACATTTTTTTTACCCTGAAGATTTTAGGAGATAACAGTAAAAATTGGGGGTTGTGGGGTGGAAGCAATGGTGGTGGGGGGTTATTTTGCAGGAGAAAGAGGTAAATACGGTAGTAAATACTTGCATTTAAGTCAGGAAGGCAACTGATAGTATTTTTTCGTTGTCTTTGCAGGGCAGCAAGATTCACTTCACAGTTGGCTTGTTAGCATAATGGCCTTAAAGAGCCAAACTAAGGAAATAATTAAAAAACTTAGAGCAAGCAGAAAACAGATCCTGCAGGAGATAAATGAAAGGCGGGAATCCAACTGTCTAGTGGAAAGAAGCAATCGAGTCAGCCTTCTACGAGTTCAAAAGAAGCATTTCCATGGCGTCTGTCAGTCCTTAGCTCAAACCCAAGTCAAAGAACCTGTTCCTGACAGTGAACGGAGCTCCTGGGTCACATTGAGCCCTTCTGTTCACAGGGAGAAAAGGCACTTTCCACCAAAAAGTAAGATGTTACGGTAGGCTTCCTATCCAGACACATGAGGGATTTATATGAAAACTTGGGAAGAATTTCTGGGGTTGAAAGAGGTTCATGAAATAGGTTAAAGGCAATCTGGCTGAAGGTAGAAGTGTCAGAAGGCCTGGGCAGGTGGTGTAAGGCCCACTGTAGACCAGACACTCAGCTTCTTGTGCCTACAGGGCTGCAGGCCCCAGCTGCAGGCTGGCTTATTCACTGGCTCTCACTTGGGTCCTGGGATCTCAGGCCAAGTAAAGGCATTCTGATACCAATGGCCTGAGAAAGCTATTTGGAGAAAAGATGTTACACGTAATTATGACAGACACAAAACTTCAGAGACCTCCTATCTCACCACCTTCTGTTGCCTCTACAAACATCTCGTGTAAACTGAAGTAAAATGGAAATGATTTTGATGCCCGAAGAAGCAGAGATAGAAATGTGGCAGGAGGGTGGGTGGAGGGTAGTGGCATAGTGTGGTATAATTTGCAATAGGAGAAAGAGGAATGGTAAATACCAATTATTTCGCTATTGTTGTAAAAATTGATTGTGAACACTTATTTCTCAGTCAAGGCAAGCAACTGATAATATCTTTTCATTTACTTGAAGAAAAAGATCCCTTGTATATAATTATATTGGCTGCATTGTTCACAAACAAAAGAAAGGCCCACATTGGAAGTTTGACTTCTTTTCTTTCTAAGAAGAAAACATTTTTATTATTGCTTTTGCTTATATCTAATTCACTATTCTATGCTTTAAGTCATATCTCTGCTAGAGTTTGGCTTCTTTGATGTGGCTGTAACTGCACTGGACAAGTGCTCTTAGTAAGTGGTGCAGGGAAGTGACACAGGCTGACATGGAAATCTGAGATGCTCCATTGTGGATCTTTTTTTTGTGTGTGTATGTGTGTGGTGGGACTGACATTTGTGCTCAGGACTTCACCCTTGCAAAGAAGGTGCTGTACTGCTCCAGCGAAACCTCCAGTCTGTCACTGTGTTTCTTTTTTTATTTATTTTTTTTATTCATATGTGCATAAAATGCTTGGGTCATTTCTCACCCCTGCCCCCACCCCCTCAATACCTGGCAGAAACTATTTTGCCCTTTTCTCTAATTTTGTTGAAGAGAGAGTATAAGCAATAATAGGAAGGACCAAGGGTTTTTGCTAGTTGAGATAAGGATAGCTATACAGGGAGTTGACTCGCATTGATTTCCTGTGCATGTGTGTTAACTTCTAGGTTAATTCTTCTTGAACTAACCTTTTCTCTAGTTCATGGTCCCCTTCTCCTATTGGCCTCAGTTGCTTTTAAGGTATCTGCTTTAGTTTCTCAGCATTGAGGGCAACAAATGTTAGCTAATTTTTTAGGTGTCTTACCTATCCTCATACCTTCCTTGTGTGCTCTTGCTTTTATCTTGTGATCAAAGTCCAATCCTCTTCTTGTGTTTGCCCTTGATCTAATGTCCACATATGAGGGAGAACATACAATTTTTGGTCTTTTGGACCAGGCTAACCTCACTCAGAATGATGTTCTCCAATTCCATCCATTTACCAGCGAATGACAACATTTCGTTCTTCTTCATGGCTGCATAAAATTCCATTGTGTATAGATACCACATTTTCTTGATCCATTCGTCAGTGGTGGGGCATCTTGGCTGTTTCCATAACTTGACCATTGTGAATAGTGCTGCAATAAACATGGGTGTGCAGGTGCCTCTGGAGTAACAGTGTTTTGGGTATAGCCCCAAGAGTGGTATTGCTGGATCAAATGGTAGATCAATGTTTAGCTTTTTAAGTAGCCTCCAAATTTTTTTCCAGAGTGGTTGTACTAGTTTACATTCCCACCAACAGTGTAAAAGGGTTCCTTTTGCCCCCCCACATCCTCGCCAACACCTGTTGGGGTGGTGGTGTTGCTAATGATGGCTATGCTAACAGGGGTGAGGTGGAATCTTAGCGTGGTTTTAATTTGCATTTCCTTTATTGCTAGAGATGGTGAGCATTTTTTCATGTGTTTTTTGGCCATTTGAATTTCTTCTTTTGAGAAAGTTCTGTTTAGTTCACTTGCCCATTTCTTTATTGGTTCATTAATTTTGGGAGAATTTAGTTTTTTGAGTTCCCTATATATTCTGGTTAACAGTCCTTTCTCTGATGTATAGCTGGCAAATATTTTCTCCCACTCTGTGGGTGTTCTCTTCAGTTTAGAGACCATTTCTTTTGTTGAGCAGAAGCTTTTTAGTTTTATGAAGTCCCATTTATCTATGCTATCTCTTAGTTGCTGTGCTGCTGGGGTTCCATTGAGAAAGTTCTTACCTATACCTACTAACTCCAGAGGATTTCCTACTCTTTCCTGTGTGAACTTTAGAGTTGTGGTCTGATATTAAGCTCCTTAATCCATTTTGAGTTAATATTGGTATAGGGTGATATACATAGATCTAGTTTCAGTTTTTTGCAGTCTGCTAACCAGTTTTCCCAGTAGTTTTTGTTGAAGAGGCTGTCTTTTCTCCAACGTATATTTTTAGCTCCTTTGTCAAAGACAAGTTGGTTATAGTTGTGTGGCTTCATATCTGGGTCCTCTATTCTGTTCCACTGGTCTTCATGTCTGTTTTTGTGCCAGTACCATGCTGTTTTTATTGTTATTGCTTTGTAATATAGTTTGAAGTCAGGTATTGTGATACCTCCAGCATTGTTCTTTTGACTGAGTATTGCCTTGGCTATTCGTGGCCTCTTGTGTTTCCATATAAATTTAACGGTAGATTTTTCAATCTCTTTAATGAATGTCATTGGAATTTTGATGGGAATTGCATTAAACATGTAGATTACTTTGGGGAGTATCGACATTTTTACTATGTTGATTCTACCAATCCATGAGCATGGGAGATCTCTCCACTTTCTATAGTCTTCCTCAATCTCTTTCTTCAGAAGTTTATAGTTTTCCTTGTAGAGGTTGTTCACATCCTTTGTTAGGTTTACACCTAGGTATTTGATTTTTTTTGAGGCTATTGTAAATGGAATTGTTTTCATATCATTCTTTTTCAGTTTGTTCATCATTAGTGTATAGAAATGCTAATGATTTTTCTATGTTGATTTTATATCCTGCTACCTTGCTATAGCTATGATGGTGTCTAGAGCTTCTGAGTAGAGTTTTTTGGGTCTTTAAGGTATAGGATCATGTCGTCTGCAAATAGGGATATTTTGACAGTTTCTTTACCTATTTGTATTCCTTTTATTCCTTCTTCTTGCCTAATTGCTCTGGCTAGGAATTCCAGTACTATGTTGAATAGGAGTGGAGATAGTGGGCATCTTGTCTGTTCCTGATTTTAGAGGAATGGTTTCAGTTTTTCTCCGTTAAGTATAATGCTGGCTGTAGGTTTGTCATATATAGCTTTTATAATGTTGAGGTACTTTCCTTCTATTCCTAGTTTTCTTAGAGCTTTTATCATGAAATGGTGTTGGATCTTATCAAAGGCTTTTTCTGCATCTATTGAGATGATCAAGTGGTTTTTGTCTTTGCTTCTGTTAATGTGGTTTATTACGTTTATTGATTTTCGTATGTTGAACAACCCCTGCATTCCTGGGATGAAGCCTACTTGGTCTGGTGAATATCTTTTTGATGTGTTGTTGAATTCGGTTTGCCATTATTTTGTTGAGGATTTTTGCATCAATGTTCATTAAGGAGATTGGCCTATAGTTCTCCTTTTTGGAGGTGTCTTTGCCTGGTTTTGGGATAAGTGTAATACTGGCTTCATAAAATGTGTTAGGCAGTTTTCCTTCCCTTTCTATTTCATGGAACAGTTTAAGGAGGGTTGGTATCAGTTCTTCTTTAAAGGTCTGATAGAATTCAGCAGAGAATCCATCAGGTCCTGGACTTTTCTTTTTGGGGAGACTCTTGATTGCTGCTTCAATTTCATTTTGTGTTATAGATCTATTCAGGTGATTAGTATCCTCTTGGTTCAGTTTTGGATGATCATATGTATTTAGAAATCTGTCCGTTTCTTTAAGATTTTCAAATTTTTTTGAATACAGGTTCTCGAAGTAGTCTCTGATGATTTCCTGGACTTCAGTTGTGTTTGTTGTTATCTCCCCTTTTGCATTCCTGATTCTACTAATTTGGATTTTATCTCTCCTCATTTTAGTCAGGTTTGCCAGGGGTCTGTTGATCTTGTTTATTTTTTCAAAGAACCAACTTTTTGTTTCATTAATTCTTTGTATGGTTTTTTTGGTTTCTATTTCATTGATTTCAGCTCTTATTTTTATTATTTCTCTCCTTCTATTTGTTTTGGGATTTGCTTGTTCTTGTTTTTCTAGGAGTTTGAGATGTATCATTAGGTCATTGATTTGGGATCTTTCAGTCTTTTTAATATATGCCCTCATGGCTATAAACTTTCCTCTCAGGACTGCCTTTGCTATGTCCCATAGGTTCCGGGTAGGTTGTGTTCTCATTTTCATTGACTTCCAGGAACTTTTTAATTTCCGCTTTTATTTCTTCAATGACCCATTGTTCATTAAGTAATGAGTTATTCAGTTTCCAGCTGTTTGCATGTTTTTTGTTTTTACTTTTGTTGTTGAGTTCTAGTTTTATTGCATTGTGATTAGATAGTATTTTCTTATATTTGCTGAGGCTTGCTTTGTGCCCTAGGATATGATCTATTTTGGAGAAGGCTCCATGGGCTGCTGAGAAGAATGTATACTGCATAGAAGTTCGATGAAATGTTCTGTAGACATCAAGTAGGTCCATTTGATCTATGGTATATTTTAGATCTTGAATTTCTTTATTGATTTTTTGTTTGGATGACCTATCCATTGATGATAATGGGGTGTTGAAGTCTCCCACAACCACTGTGTTGGAGTTAATATATGCTTTTAGATCTTTCAGGGTATGTTTGATGAAATTGGGTGCATTGACATTGGGTGCATATAGGTTGATAATTATTATTTCCTTTTGGTCTATTTCCCCTTTTATTAGTATGTAATGTCCTTTATCTCATTTGATCAATGTAGGTTTGAAGTCTACTTTGTCAGAGATAACTATTGCTACTCCTGCCTGTTTTTGGGGGTCATTGGCTTGGTAAATCTTCTTCCAGCCTTTCATTGTAAGCCTATGCTATTTCTGTCAGTGAGATGGGTCTCCTGTAAGCAACAAATTGTTGGATCTTCCTTTTAATCCATTTCATCAAACCGTGCATTTTGATGGGTGAATTAAGTCCATTAACATTAAGTGTTAGTACTGATAGGTATGTGGTGATTCCTGTCATTTAGTTGTCTTAGTTGTTTGAAGGTTTGACTGTGTATACCTAAGTTGAGGTTACTCTCTACTTTCTTGCTTTTTCTTTTCCTGTGGTTTGGTGCTGCCTGTCTTTTCATGGTTAAGTTGGGTTTCACTTTCTGTGTGCAGAATCCCTTGCAGAATCTTTTGTAGTGGTGGCTTTGTGGTCACATATTGTTTTAGTTTCTGCTTATCATGGAAGACTTTTATTGCTCCATCTATTTTGAATGATAGTTTTGCTGGGTAGAGTATCCTGGGGTTGAAGTTATTTTCATTCAGTGCCCGGAAGATCTCACCCCATGCTCTTCTTGCTTTTAATGTTTCTGTTGAGAAGTCTGCTGTGATTTTGATGGGTTTATCTTTGTATGTTATTTGTTTTTTCTCTCTTACAGCCTTCAATATTCTTTCCCTAGTTTCTGAACTTGTTTTAATGATGATATACTGTGGGGTAGTTCTGTTTTGTTCTGGTCTGTTTGGTGTTCTGGAGGCCTCTTGCATCTGTATGGGAATATCTTTGTCTAGATTTGGGAAATTTTCTGTTATTATTTTGTTGAATATATTACGCATTCCCTTCACTTGCACCTCTTCTCCTTCTTTGATGCCCATGATTCTCAGGTTTGGTCTTTTGATGGAGTCGGTGAATTCTTGCATTTTCTTTTCACAGGTCTTGAGTTGTTTAACTAGTAGTTCTTCAGTTTTTCCTTTAATTACCATTTCATATTCGAGTGCTGAGATTCTGTCTTCTGTTTGTTCTATTCTGCTGGATTGGCCTTCCATTTTGTTTTGCAATTCTGTTTCATTCTTTTTTCTGAGGTTTTCCATATCCTGGGTCATTTCCTCTTTAATGTTATCTATTTTTGTCCTGAGTTCATTTATCTGTTTATTAATCGTGTTCTTTGTTTCACTTTGGTGTTTATACAGTGCTTCTATGGTTTCCTTTATTTCTTCTTTTGCTTTTTCAAATTCTCTATTTTTGTTGTCTTGGAATTTCTTGAGTGTCTCCTGTACTTTTTGTTAACTCTATTCAGTATCAACTCTATAAAATTCTCATTGATTACTTGCAGGATTTCTTCTTTTAGATTATTCTTGTGGGCTTCACTGGGTTCTTTGACATAGTTTATCTTCATTTTGTTGGAGTATGGGTCTGAGTATCTGTTTTCTTCATTTCCCTCTGGTTCCTGTACTAATTTTTTGCTGTGGGGAAACTGGTTTCCCTGTTTTTTTTCTGTCTTCCTGTCATTGCCTTTCGGGTTGTTATTGTCCCTGTACTGTGTGCAATTAAGTATTTTCTGGCTTATAGTATTAGTACTAGTGATATTTAGAATGGAAGGGTGAGAGGAGATGGATAGCAAAGAAGTTAAAGGAAAAGGGAAAACCAAATAAACAGGTAGAATAAAACAAAACAAAGAAACAAACAAAATAGTTTCAAAGATATAAACAGGGAGAGACAGTGTACTAATGAACCGTAAGCTGAAGTTAGAAGAGTAATGTCATAGCTGGTCTGTTAGTTCTCACAACTTTGATGTTGGAGGGAAAATCCACCTCCTAGTACAACATAGTGCCCAATGCTACAGGAATATATGTGGCTTTCTACAAGGTTGAACACATGTAATCCCCATCACCAACATTCGTGGCATCAAGGTTGCAGGTCAATAATCTTAGAACATTGAAGCAGACACTTCAATACTTTAGTAAAATGCTTTGCCTCTCTTAAATAAACAGACTTAAATAGCAATTCAGCTTCATGATGGTATGACACAGAATAAGTATGGACCTAATTTAAATGCTGTGATAATTGGTATGGAAATGCATAGTCTGTATTAGTCTAACCTAGACGTTCTCAAAGTGTGACTTGGGGCTTTTTGGGTATTCAAATCTTTCACAGGGGTCCATGAGGTCAAAACAATTTTCATAATAAGATTGAGATATAATTTGCTTTTGTCACTCTTGTGCTATCATGAAAACACAATATGTGATGACATCATACTCTGACCATTAGTGGAATGTGGACTTAACTTTTTTGAGTTTTAAAATTTTCTCAGTTTTATGAACTGGGATATAGTTCAGTGGTAGAGGACTTGCCTAGCATGTATGAGGCCCTGGGTTCATTCCCCAGCGCCCACACATACCAAAATATGTTTTAATTTCTCAAATGATAATTTATTGAGAAATATTGAACAAAAACTTGAGAGAGTCCTGCATAATGTTTGAGACCATAATGAATCCGGAGACCAGAAAGTTTGAGAATCACTAGTCTAAGCAAAATATAGGTAACTGTTGACTCAGTGCTATGTATTCTCAAAAGCTTATAAAAGTTTCCCATAGTTTTCTAATTAATTTCTACTTGAAACTTATGGCCATTCATTCCAACATTCATTCTCATCAAGGATGAAAAAGACGTATTTTTGTTTTATTTTCTTATTTCCATAAGTAGAAAGTACTTGGGCACAGAGAAAGGCACTGCTATTTTTCTTTTTGAGTGCCTACTTTATTCTGAATACCATTAAGGTTTGAAAAGGTCAACAAAAATACCCTTTGTTCCCAGATCTATTGCTTTTAGGTTACTGGTGTGGTGCTGGATGACAATGGTGGGGAGTGCACGGTGGAGCAAAAATGTTCATCATATGGCCAGGGGAGCAAAAGAGAGAGATGATGGGACAGAGGTCCCATAATTCCCTTCATGGGCATGCCTCCAATAACCTAAAGACCTCCCGCTAGGCCTTGCCTCCTAAAGGATCCATCACCTCCAATAGTGCAACCCTGCAGATCAAACCTTTAACACATGACTTTTGGAAAGATTCCAGGTCCAAATTATAGCAAGGGGCCATGAGTGCTGATGGGGAGGGAAGTTAGAATTTTGTTAAGTGCATTCAATTCTAGGGCTCCTCTTTGCTCCTGTCAATAATAATTTGAAGACCCAGGGAGGAGTTTTCTTGGCCAGAGATCTCCAAGATCTCTCTTTAGTCTTCTACTTGGAGATGTAGAGATCAAAAGAGGGGCAGTGCTACTTAAATATAAAGTCTTAAAGACAGAAGACTCAGGTTCAAGTTCTGCTTCTGCTGTTGACTGTCTTATGCTTTTAGTCATGTGGTGTTTCTAAACCTTAGTTTCTGTATCTGTAGAACAGTATTCAAGGACTATGGTTGTACTGCAGTGGTAGAGTGCTTGCCTAGCATATGGAAAGTCCTGGGTTTAACCCAGAGCACCACATTAAAAAAAAACAATATGCATCTTCTCTGTCCTCCAGATTGTTTTGAAAACTAAGAAATACATTGTGTTATATAAATACTTTTTATCTTTTATTTTTCAGATAATGCCATATTTGGATAAAGTACAACTCCAGAGACACAGACAAATACAGTCTGATTCTTCTTCAATGTCTGCCTAAATTATTTAGAAGTATCATAATGAAAGAAGCCAAATAAATGAAATGGTTAAATAGATCACCAAAAACATTTTGAATCACATAAACATACTGCATATAGATTCATTCCAATCTATTATTTAGACTAAGATGTCTGTACAGGGGATCTGCGTTATTAAAGATACTTTCAAAGTTGAATGACCTAAAGCTTATAGTGATCTACTCCTTACTTAATCTAAAATATTTAAATATTAGGTTATATTTATTTCTATAAATTGGAGTAGCATGTTGACCAATCCCACTGATCAGGCTCTGTAGTTTCTCAAAGTTAACATTTGTTTCTAAATGCTTAATTATATTAACTTACTCTTCAGATCTATGGTTTTGGTAATTGGAATAAGTACATACTTGTGAGGTACAATAGGTGCTGTTAGTTAGAGGGTTTTGTTATATTTCTTCACCCTTTTCCAAGGGGAGCATTGCTAGAATCATCCTATTTGACTGCTGTCAACTTTGTCTCATTGCTTCTTGGAGAGCAGTATTTCAAATTTTAACTCAGCTTGTGTTCTTTTTTGTAACTAATAGCCTGTTCCATATGACACACAGAACACTGCCTGACCTGGAACCCAGCTGCTTCTTGGCATTTGTCTTTATATCAATAAAACATTCACCTTTTCCTTGGTTACTTTCTGCCTCCATAGAAAACTCAAATTCATAGAAAGTCAAAGCATTCTGACATAGGTAAGTTAACTGGCCTACAATCCTGCTGCAGCTAGGACTTCTCTAGGGCACAGTGTGGATAAGATGACAAGGTAACCCAGGCCTATGAAGGTAGTTCAGGCCTGTAATCTCAGTACTTAGGAAGCTGAAGCAGGAGGTTCCTAAGGTGAAAGGCACAGGAGGTTCCTAAGGTGAAAGGCAGTGTGGACTACATAGTGAGACCTGTCTCACAAGAAAAAAATTAATAAAAAGACTACAAGAGTATGTAAAAAGTACCTAGATCTACAGCTAAGTTTTCACTTCCCAAATGGCAAATATCTAGTTTTGCCTACCACAGTTTTGTGGGCATTGGCAGAAGAGGTGAGAGTTCTGGTTCAGATCCAAAGAACTGCACAGAGCATAGCAGATAGCACAAGCCTTAAGCTGGATGGCTCTCCTGCCCTCTCCCATCACCTCAGGACTCTCGGGGACACACAGGAGCTGCTGGGTAGATGTCACACACACCCAGGGTTTGCCTCACAGCTAAAACTCCCGGAACTTAAGCAACACAACCTTTGCCTGGAAGGTGACATTATTTTTATTATATCTGGCATAAGCAGGTCTGCCCTCTGCTCCAGAGAAAGACTATTTCTATCTTCCAAAGAGATAGTTTAGAACAAAGATTATCTTTCCTATCCCTCTGTTCCCTAGCTGTGCAGAAACAGGAGAGACCTAGGAGAATTATCTCCTAACACTTGAGCAACCCAACTAAAGATTAGAAAGGATGGTATTGTTTTGGGGACTCAGTCTAACATGGATTCATTTTAGGAGACAGGCACATCACAAATGAGTGTCAGGTTATACACAGTACAAATAACAACCTCCCTAACCTCATTTCTGTATAATCTAGCCTAACTTCTTCCCCATGTGCTTCTGCCTTTATGAAACTACTTGTGGCTCTCTGAATTTGCTTTATCCTCTTAGTCCTCCTTCACCTAACTCAACTTGTACAAGATTCAGTTTAAATACCATCTCCTTCCAGATGCCTTCCCTAACCCCAACCCCTATTATACATTTCTACTTTGTTGTCCTTTATTCACCCTATAACAGCCTCAGCCTAAAACAGAAACTCAAAAGTCATCAGACAGTAAACATTTTGAACTCTGACCGTATCTGGAATGACAGGAAGTTCAGTCAACCTCTCACCCACCTCCCCATAGTACAGCATATCTGTGTGTACACGTGTTCCCTTGGTAAACACTTGGTGACAGACTTTCTTCCTTTTATGCCTGCAGAGCCTTTTACAGGGGAGCATCCTAGTCAAGCCCAGCAATGCTCCACTATTGCTGCAGCCACAGAGACAATGTCTCTTCTCTGCAGGCTCCTGCAGGCCCAGTGCCTTTCCTGGCACTACAATGTGCCCAAAGAGACAGGCTGGCAGCAGCACCAACAAGACTATGACTATCTAACTAAGGCAGTAGAGGGCTGGAGGGGTGTTGGGTAGACAGATTGAGAACACTCAGCTCAACCCTTACCCAAATCTGTACTGTTCAGTCCTTTCTACAGAAAGCCATGTAGGTAAAGAGGTTCCAGTTAAAAGTGCCAGACAAGGAGCAGAGACCAGAGAATCTATATGTTTCCTTTGAGATCTTCATGAAAAAGGCTCTTTTATATTATACCTGTTTTGACTGCAGGCCCCTCTTCCTCCTTCATGAAAACGTGAGGCTGTTTAAGAGACAGTCTGGACATTAGCTATCACTGTAGTTAAATCCACCCATCCAAGTCCATCATCCTGGGGCCGAAGTGTTGTGCCCCAACTCTCTTTTTGCCTTGAGCATATGGTGACAGGCTTCCTGACTGAGAGCTGGGTTCCCAGGGGCTCAAGCCTCTAATTCTAGATAAATGAGAGACAGAGATTGGGAAGATTGAGTTCAGCCCTGAAAACTGTTCATGAGACCCCATCTCAACCAATAGCTGGGTGTGTGGCATGTACCTGTCATCCCCACCTATGTGGGGAAGCACAAATAGGAGGATCATGTACAGGCTGACCTGGGCATAAAGTGAAACCCTATCTCAAAAAACTAGCACAAAATGAGCTGGCAGAATGACTCAAGTGGTAGAGTACCTGCCTAGCAAGCTAGAGGTTCTGAGTTTGACCCGCCAGTATAGTAAAAAATCGACCAACCAACCAACCAACGAAAGAAAAAGCTGACTGACAGGTCATGTTTCAAGCAAGGATGAGCTGGGCTATCTCCTTTTTCAGAATTTTCCAGAATTTTCCCCATCAATGAAATAAACCAAACACCCCTCTCCCACCCTGTAGTCATAGAGGCCTCTCAGTTCCTCAAAAGTAAGTCTTTTTTAGTCAGGCACAGTCATGCAAGCCCAGGAATAGGGCTAGCCTGGGCAATGTAGCCAAACCCTGTTTCTTTAAAAGAGCAAGGGGCGGGGAGAGAAAGAGGGGAGGAAGTGGGTCTTTTCTATCTTTGGGTCCTCGTACCCTTAGGGCTGTTGGAGGGTATATAGAGGTAGACAAAGGAGGAGTGTGTACCAGTGGGGTGTGTGTTGTGTGTGTGTGTGTGTGAAATCTTACATGAGGTAAAGTTAGGTGAAGGGGAGGTAAGAGAATAAGGCAAGTTCAGAGAACCACAAGTAGTTCCATAAAGACAGAGGGCCATATAGGAGAAGACAGGATGGATGGATGGATGGATAGATAGACAAACAGATAGACAGGCAGACAGATAGGATGCTGCTGTTCAGCCTGGGAGGCTCCTATCCATTCATCTCAGACCAAGCTCCTCCTCACCCTTTCAAGTCTCAACTAGAATGTCATCTCCTCACAGGCCTACCCTCACTACGACATCTAAAGTAGATTGAATTCTGCCATGAACGTACATGCTATTAAGCATGCAAAAATAAAACACTCACTGAAGTCCTCACTATCACAGACTAGCAGCAGCAGCAGCATTTGGAAGCTTTTGGAAACACAGAGCCCCAGGTTTTACCCCAGGCCTTCTATGATAGAATTGGTCTTTCAGGATATCCACAGGTGGCTGCTTAATTAATACATATTAAAGTTAGACTGAAGAGAACACCCACAGAGTGGGAGAAAATATTTGCCAACTATACATCAGACAAAGGACTGATAACCAGAATATACAGGGAACTCAAAAAACTAAATTCTCCCAAAACTAATGAACCAATAAAGAAATGGGCATGTGAACTAAACAGAACTTTCTCAAAAGAAGAAATTCAAATGGCCAGAAAACACATGAAAAAATGCTCACCATCTCTAGCAATAAAGGAAATGCAAATTAAAACCACGCTAAGATTCCACCTCACCCCTGTTAGAATAGCCATCATCAGCAACACCACCAACAACAGGTGTTGGCGAGGATGCGGGGAAAAAGGAACCCTCTTACACTGTTGGTGGGAATGTAAACTAGTACAACCACTCTGGAAAAAAATTTGGAGGCTACTTAAAAAGCTGGACATTGATCTACCATTTGATCCAGCAATACCACTCTTGGGGATATACCCAAAAGACTGTTTACTCCAGAGGCACCTGCACACCATGTTTATTGCGGCACTATTCACAATAGCCAAGTTATGGAAACAGCCAAGATGCCCCACCACTGACGAATGGATTAAGAAAATTGTGGTATCTATACACAATGGAATTTATGCAGCCATGAAGAAGAACGAAATGTTATCATTCGCTGGTAAATGGATGGAATTGGAGAACATCATTCTGAGTGAGGTTAGCCTGGCCCAAAAGACCAAAAAGTATGTTCTCCCTCATATGTGGACATTAGATCAAGGGCAAACACAACAAGGGATTGGACTTGAGCAATGATAAAGCGAGAGCAACACAAGGGAAGGGGTGAGGATAGGTAAGACACCTAAAAACTTAGCTAGCATTTGTTGCCCTTAACGAGAAACTAAAGCAGATACCTTAAAGCAACTGAGGCAATAGGAAAAGGGGAACCAGGTACTAGAGAAAAGGTTAGATCAAAAAGAATTAACCTAGAAGGTAACACCCACGCACAGGAAATCAATGTGAGTCAATGCCCTGTATAGCTATCCTTATCTCAACCAGCAAAAACCCTTGTTCCTTCCTATTATTGCTTATACTCTCTCTACAACAAAATTAGAAATAAGGGCAAATTAGTTTCTGCTGGGTATTGGGAGGGAGAGGGAGGGGGCGGAGTGGGTGGTAAGGGAGGGCGTTGGGGCAGGGGGGAGAAATGAACCAAGCCTTGTATGC